GGATGGAGACCCAAGTCCACCCACTGGCAGCAGGTTCAAATCCCACCGCCTCTTCATGCATTTTCACCCCAATTTGGGGGTTTAAAGATAAACATGTTATTAATTATGTTGCTTTCCATCTTCCAAGATGCCTTTTAGGTCAAAGGCAAGACACCAATAAAGCGGCAAATGGACAAACAGACCTTGGGAAAGATGGCACAAGGGATGACAGACTTTGCTGGGTAGCAGGGCCACAGATCATGTGTCTTTGCGGACTACAAATCCCAGAATCCTAACCATCGTGCCTAAAAGACCACATGGTCTGGAGGACTGCGGAAACTGTTGTCCACAAAAGCAAGTTTTGGGAGATCTCATTGTAAGAAATTTGAGGGAGGAAAAGAGGGGGAGGTCCTTCCTCTCCCAAGGATTGAGGAAGAAGAGGAGGAGGAAGGGATGGAGGCAAGTGGCAAGAAGGCCTTGGAGTCCAGGTCAAGGGAAGAAGAATAAGGAAACCCCCAAGACACTGCCAGAAGAAAGAGCAGAAGGAGACCATGGTCCGACAACAGAGACCCCATGTTTACATCAGGAGAGCAGGGCCAACTGGGGGCCAAACACCCTTTGACCTCAGAACAGGGTCAGGCCAGGTCAGGGCTTGGTTGGGAGACCCCAAGGAAAGCCAGGAGAAGGCCCAAGAAAGCCCTCTCAGGCTCAAGAGATCATCACCGGAGGGAACCTGAAGGCCCCATCTGACCCTGGAAGCTAAACAGGGCCAGCCCTGGGTGGCATTTGGATGGGAGAGGGACAATGGGCACTTTCAGAGGGGAGGGGGAGAGAAGGAAGGAAGGAAGAGGGAGGGAGGGAGAAAAGAAGGAAGGAGGGAGGGAGGAAGGAAGGAGGGAGAAGGAAGGAAGAGGAAGGAAGGAAGGAAGAAGGGAAGAGGAAAGGAAAGGAAGGGAAGGGAAGGGAAGAAGGAAGAAAGGAAGGAGGAAGGAAAGGAAGGGGAAGAAGGGAGGGGAGGGAAGGGGGAGGGAGGGAAGGAAGGTTTACCTGACTTTCTTTCTTAATTCACTTCATTACCGTAATTATTAACTTACTTGATTCAATGCGCGAATTAATGCTTAATGACGTCCTTCATTATACAATTACTGTGTATTATGAATTACTAAAGTTCCTTACCTCCACTTGCACTTATTGCTGGATTATGTTCTCATTCTATGACTCAATTTTACGTCCTTCCTATTCATTTAGAATCTACTTCTGAATATTCCTTACCTTACAGGAAGGAAGGAAGGAAGGAAGGAAGGAAGGAAGGAGAAAAGGAAGGAAGGAGGGAAGGAGCCAAATCATCTCTAAGGATCCCTTGCCGTAAGTTGTTGGTAGGCCTGGAGGAACAATTCGACCTATATGGACAGATGGCCATGACTCCAGAGGAGGACAACAGCAAGACGATGACAATGTTGATAATAATATTCCATCTACCTGCCTGTCAGAATGGGGTTGGAGTGGATGGCCCTTAGGGGTCCCCAACAGGAGAAATCTGCAAGGAAGACGTTGGGAGAAAGAAAGAGGGGAAGGAAGGCACAGGAAGGCCTTTCCAGACGTTCCAAGACGATTCTGAAGCCAATATTAAGGACGGTTAAGACTAGATATTAAGATCAGAAAAGCCTGTTTGGAGGCCCCCGCCCTGCTTCAGCCCACAAGGGCCACAACAAGGGCCCCAGAAGTCCCTTCCTGGTATTGAAATGCATGTAATGTCAGCCTCTTTAAGTCTCCTTGTGGAGGGAAAAAGTGGGGCAAACATAAACATAATAATAACACAACACAGACCCAATGCAATGCAAAGAGCGATGTTCACTGGGCCCAGAGGAGCCTTGTGGCCTTTGCGCTTTGCAGCCTCACAAACACACAGCCCAGGCCCAGATTTCCACCCAGAGGGATACTTGTCTCCCACACCTTGTGGCAGGGAGTTCCCCAGGTTAGCGCTCTCCTCCCACCGGCCTTGTCTCCCCTCAGGCTTCAATATGAGGGGGGAAACTCCCTTCCTTCCTTCCTTCCGGGCCTGGCTTTGGGCACAAGGCCCCCCCCCCCCCCCCGCCCTCTCCTCTTCTTCCTCCTGCAGCTAAAATGACCCAAATGGGAGAGTTGCTCCAGCCCCTTCCTCAAGACTTCCCTCAGCTCTTCCTGCAGGAAGGAAACAGGGGAGACTGGGGGAGTCTCTCAAAGGAAGGAAATGGGGGTCAAGGGGGGGTGAGAGCCAAGGAAGAGATGAGGAGTAGACAAGGAGGAAGGCTGTGGCCAGGAGTGGACTGGAGGAAGGAAGGAAGAAGCCCTGCCTTCCCATCTTCCCTTCCCATCACCCTTCCTTTCTTCCTTCCCATCCCATCTCTCCTTCCTTACCACTATCCCTTCCTTGCTTGCTTGCCTCTCATCTTCCCTTCCTTCCAATCTTCCCTTCTTCCTTCTCTTCCCATCTTCCCTCCTTTTCCTTCCTGCCCTACTTCCTTCCTTCCTCTTTCTTCCTCTTTTTCCTTCTTTCCTTCCCTCTTCCTTCCTTCCTTCTCTCTTCCTTCTCCTCTTTCCTTCCTTCCCTACTTCCCTCCCTTTTCATCTTTCCTTCCTTCCTTCCTTGCCACCCTTCCTTCTCTTGCTTCCTTCCCTACTTCCCTTCCTTTCCATCTTTCTGTCCTTCTTTCCCATGCTTTCCTTCCCATCTTTCTTCCCTTCCTTCCCACCCTCCCTTCTCTTGTTTCCTTCCCTACTTTTTCATCTTTCTGTCCTTCTTTCCTATGTTTTCCTTCCCATCTTTCCTTCCTTCCCACCCTTTCCTTCCTTTCCACCTTTCTGTCCTTTCCTTCCTTCTTTCCTGTTTTCCTTTCCATCTTTCCTTCCCAGCCTTCCTCCTCTTCCTTCCTTCCCTACTTCCCTTCCTTTCCATCTTTCTGTCCCTTCTTTCCCACCCTCCCTTCTCTTGTTTCCTTACCTACTTCCCTACTTTTCATCTTTCTGTCCTTCTTTCCTTCCTTCCTTCTTTCCTATGTTTTCCTTCCCATCTTTCTGTCCTTTCCTTCCTTCCTGTTTTCCTTTCCATCTTTCCTTCCTTCCCAGCCTTCCTCCTCTTCCTTCCTTCCCTACTTCCCTCCCTTTTCATCTTTCCTTCCTTCCTTCCTTGCCACCCTTCCTTCTCTTGCTTCCTTCCCTACTTCCCTTCCTTTCCATCTTTCTGTCCTTCTTTCCCATGCTTTCCTTCCCACCCTTCCTCCTCTTCCTTCCTTCCCTACTTCCCTTCCTTTTCATCTTTCCTGCCTTCTTTCCCATGCTATTTTCCCATTTTCCCTTCTTTCCTTCCTTCCCACTCTTCTCCCCCCCCCCCCCATGCCTCCCTCTGGGCCTGGGCAAGGAGACCCACAAGGGGTCCTAACCCCCAAAATTAGGAACTTGGGGAGGGGCTCCTCCTCCTCTTCCTCTTCTCCCCATCAAAGAGCAGCAGGCCTTGAGGTGGGCCTGGGCCAACTTGGGCCTTCCTCCCTCCTGGTGTGTTGGCCTCCCCCCATTCCTCACAGCCTTGGGGCCCTTCCTCCTCTCCCCCCCCCTCCCAAGGGGCCTGGGGCTGTGAGGAAGGGGGGCAGAGGAAGTCCAAAACACCAGGAGAGAAGGAGAGAAGGAGGGAGGGAAGGCCCAAGTTGGCCCAGGCCCGCCCCAAGGCCTCCTTCCTTCCTGTTGGGGATCACCCATAATCATGGGGGGGGGGGGGGAGGAAGAGGAGGGCAGAGGGGCCACAGGGTCGGGCCCAGATTATTATTTGGGGGGGGGGGAATTCCAGACCCAGCCCCCCCTCCCAAAATAAGACCCAGGCCGCCCGCCTTGCCTCCTTTACCCCCCCTTCCATTAGACCCTTTGCTCCTGCCCCTCCCAAGGCAAACAACCCCCCCCCCCCCACCACCATCATCATCATCATCACAACAACAACAATAATAACGCTTCCCACTTACGGAATCCGTGAACTGCGCCCCCCGGCTTCCTTCTTCTTGTGCCCCCCCCCTTTTCGAGAGGGGGGGTCTGTTCTTCGGGGGGGTAAAAGAGGAGGAGGAGGAGGAGGAGGGAGCGCCTCGCCGCCAGACCCCCCCCCCCCTTTGCTCCCTCCCTCCCTCCTTTCACCCCCCCATCAGGAAAAAGAGGAGGAGGAGGGAATGAGGAGGGATCCTCGGGGAGGAGGAGGGGGGGCTACTCCCTGGCGGGGGGGTGCGGGCCCCCTCCCATCGCCCTTTCCCTCCCTCCCTCCCTCCCCCCTCCCCGGGGCTCCTTTTTCCGCTAATCAATGGGGGGAGGGGGGAAAAAGGGGGGAGGAAGGAAGGAGAGACGCAGAGCCCCCCCGCCCTGGTGCCCCCCTCCCTCACTAATTCGCCCCCCACCCCAACACCCCAAAATGGAGGGAGAAAGAGGAAAGGGCCCGATCCCTTCTTCCTTCCTTCCTTCCCTCCTTCTCTTCCTTCCTTCTCTCTCTTTTCCAAGCCGGGGGGGGGCTGGCTCCCCTCTTTTTGGGGAGGGAGGGGGGTCTGTGGGGAGGGGCGTTGGTTGGCGAGAAAAGAGAGAGAGAGGGAAAGAGGGAGGGAAAAAGGGAAGGAAGGAAAGAAGGAAGGAAGGAAGGAGGGAAGAGGCTGGTGCTGATGCTGCTGCTGCGGCGCTGCTGCCTTCCTCCTCCTCCTCCTCCTCCTCTTCTTCCTCCTCTTCTTCCTCCTCTTCCTCTTCTTCTTCTGCCGCGCGTAGAATCCTGATGAGGAAGGGAAGGAGGGAGGAAGGAAGGAAGGAAGGAAGGAAGGAAGGAAGGAAGGAAGGAAGGAAGGAAGGAAGGAAGGAAGGAGGAAGGAAGAGGCGCCGCCAATCCGGGTTCACTCCCGACTCATCCTCTTCCTCCTCCTCCTCCTCTTCATCAAGGCCTTTTTTTAGGGGGGGGGGGGGGTCTCCCTCTCCCTCTCTGCCCCCTCCCTCTCTCTCCCCCCCTCCCCTTTTGAAAAGGTACCTACCCTCGGCCATTTTGGGCAAGCGGGCGAGCGTGCCTCTGAGCATGGGCAGAGCGCCTCCGTCGGAAGAAGGGAGGGAGGACACGGAGGGGGAGGGAGGGGAGGGGAGGGGGGAGGGGAGGGGAGGGGGCCCTCCCTCCCCTTGCAAAATGGAAAAGGAAACTTTATATATTTTTATTTTATATATATTATATAAATAACTTTTTAAATTTGTATTATATATATATATATATATATATATATATAATAAAAATTTAAAAAGTTATTTATTATACATATATAAAATGCATTTTCATAAAAATAATAAAACTGTTAAGCAGGCCTGGGCCAACTTGGTCCTTTCAATATAGATATATTCATTTTTATATATTGTTATATATATATATATTTACTTTGCTTCTATACCACTGTTCTCAGCCCGGGGGCGACTCACAGCGGTGTACAACATAGGAAGAACAAGGTTCAAAATTCAAGACGCAATCTAAAATGATCCACAATCCAGCAATAACAAAAACATCATCAGTTCTTGTGGGTTTTTTCGGGCTATATGGCCATGTTCTAGAGGCATTTCTCCTGACGTTTTGCCTGCATCTATGGCAAGCATCCTCAGAGGTAATGAGGTCTGTTGGAACTAGGAAAATGGGTTTATATATCTGTGGAATGACCAGGGTGGGACAAAGGACTATTGTCTGCTGGAGCTAGGTGTGAATGTTTCAACTGAAAACAGCTTCATTAGCATTTGAAGGCCTGCCTGAGTCTGGGAAAATCTGTTGCTGGGAGGTGTTAATCTGTGCCTGGTTTTTTCCTCTCTGTTGTTTAGCTGTTTAGCTGTTTCACAGAAATGCTGGACCACACCAACAACCACCATGTCAGACTACACAGAGAAGCCATTGAAATCCACAAGCATGTGGACAATTTCAACAGAAAGGAAGAGACCATGAAAATGAACAAAATCTGGCTACCAGTATTAAAAAACTCTAAAAT